TCTGTTTTTGCACTCAACAGCTTTTAAATGCCATCTTTGCTCAGATTATAGGCGGTCATGGTTCTCCACATGTTCTTTTTATTTAACTTCCCTGAATAATTGAATCGTAGGTTTAATTCTCTGGTAAATCAAACCAGCGGTTAAAAGCTGCGAATAATAGAATCAGGGATTAACTGCTCTGAATAATTGAATCATAGGTTTAATTCTCTGGTAAATCAAACCAGGGGTCAAATGCTCCGAATAATAGAATTAGGGATTAACTGCTCTGGATAATTGAATAAGATGTTAAATTCTCTGGTAAATCAAATCAAAGGTTAAATGCTTCAAATAATCAGGGATTAACTGATATGGATAATTGAATCAGAGGTTAAATGCTCTGGTAAATCAAACCAAATTTTAAATGCTGCGAATAATAGAATCATGGATTAACTGCTCCGGATAATTGTATCAAGCCAGAGGTTAAATGCTGTAAATAGCATAATCAGGGATTAATTACTCTGGATAACTGAATCAAGGTTTAAGTGCTATTGATAGTTCAATCAAGGCGTTAACTACTCTGGATAATCAAATCAAGGTCTGAGTGTTGATGATTATCCAATCAGAGGTTAAATACTCAGGATAATCCAATCAAGATTAAAGTGCTGTTGAAAATCCAACCAGAGGTTAAATCTCTGAATAATCCAATCAAGTGTTAAGTGCTGTTGATAATCCAATCAGGGATTAAGTTCTTGGGATAATCGGATAAGATTTTAAATGCTCTGGATAATGAAACCAGGCGGTTAAATGCTGAAGATAATCGATCAAGAGCTCTTGCTAATCGAATCAAGGGTTAAATGCTTGAAACCATGAAACCAGGAATTAAATGCTCTAAATAATCCAATCAGGGGATAAGTGCTCTAGATAATTTATCATTTAAGTATTCATGTTAATCGAATCGGATTAATTTCTTTGGGATAATCGAATCAGAGATTATCTATTCGGGATAATAGAAACGGTTGGTTAAATATGCGAGATAATCCATAACGAGTTTAAATCCAGGCTTCTTAATCCTTTTTCTTGCTTCATATGCCTCGGACCGTGGACCCCTTTGGCTTTGAGCTTGATCAATGCCATAATAACATCTTGAATTATGAAAATTGTCCATTTAAATACACCGTTATATTTTGCTTCTAACCCTGTATAACCATAGGAAAGCATTTAAGTTTAACCAAGAAAGCCTCAATTCCGTCGCAATTGTAGCCAATCAAAGCGTCTTTTGACTAATAACGTTTCGGCCGTCGGAATCTCCGTCCGTCTTCATGTGTCTGTCTCTCTGTTCAGTAATGCTCGAAATTTCGAACCTAAAACTTTATTCAATCCTCAGGGTAGTTTATACCCATGCTTAGAGAATATAACTCCTGAACTAGAACATATGACTTGTCAGTACTACTGGACACAGGGATTGAACTCACAATTGCCAACACGTTCCATGCTTAGAGGGGGTTCAGAATGAGAATTCGTAGAGCCGAGTTCGAATAACAGCCGGTTTCGTTACATTCCTTTTCGTGCAAATGCCCTTGGGAAAGGCATGAATCTATCTCGGCCCTTCAACTATGGGTTAAATAGTACGACTTGTATCTGGAGAAAGCATTGTTATTCTCAAAAAATAGTTTATGGGAAACTCCCTCTCTCTCTCTCTCTCTCTCTCTCTCTAACTTTTGATAGCCTACTTCTGAGGTAACAACGTAGAAAGGAAACTCTCACTGTTTCTCTTTCTCTTCTACCCCCACTATCTTTCTCTCTCTCTCAATATCTTTTGATAGTCTACTATTTTAGGTAAAAACGTAGAAAGGAAACTCTCCCTCTCCCCCTCTCAGTATCTTTTGATACCCTACTTATTAGGAAAAAACGTAGAAAGTAAACTATCACTGTTTCTCTTTCTTTCTTTCTTTCTTTCTTTCTTTCTTTCTTTCTTTCTTTCTTTCTCTCTCTCTCGCTCAATATCTTTTGATATTCTACTATTTTAGGTAAAAACGTAGAAAGGAAACTCTCACTCTCTCCGTCTCTCTCTCTTTCTCTTCCACTCTCCCTGTCCCTCCCTCCTTTTGGTAAGGTAGATGAACTGATAGAAAAGGCTGGACAACCAACAATAAAATTATGAAGGTCAGACATTCCATGAATTCCCCTGTAAAGAAAATGACAAGTTATGGTATTTAATAGCATGATCATTTTTCCTTGTCAAACTCGTATCTGTTGGGAAAGTTCTGATCTGGAAACGAATAAATGAACAGAGATTGTTTTTTGAAAAAAAAAAATGAAGAAAAAAAAAAGAAAAAGAATTTATCTTTAGAAAATGAATTCCACTTTAATTATGACCGATAGCAAACTAGGTAGGATTAACCAGAAGGGTGTGATCGGTTATCAAGTAACCTTGATGATCAGAATTCAAAAAGCTGGCTTTTTTTAAGATATTTAGTAATCTGAGTAGTGTGCAAGGTCAGATGGTGAGCGGCAAGGAGCTGTTTCAACTTTCCACAAGAAAGATCCTACCTAACTGGAAAATTGAGCATTTCCGTTTAGTCCTCACAGAGTGCCTCATACAAGATTCGACATTAAAAAAAAAAACCAGCAAGCTTAAAATCAACCAACCAATACTATGACTAAAATATCAGTAGAGGAATTCGATCACTATTTTCATGGCAAATGTTCAGACGACCTACATTAAGTCCACCAATAGAAAACAACAATCCTGTTCTCCCTCCCTCCCGAATATTGGTGATGAATAACAATAAATATTGTAATATAAGCACTGGTAAAAAAAAAAAGATTACTGAGACATTAGATTGATAAGTCGCAAAAATACATATATAGATGTCCTCAAGGACACATGACCCAGTTGATAAAGACGTTGATTCGATCCAGTAACTAGACCCAAAGAGTTGTGAGTTCAATACCAGGCCAGAGCAGTTAAAGAGAAGAGGCATGGCAGTGGAACTAGAGCAATCTACCTAGGCTAAATAAAGCGTTCGGTTCGAAATCCCAATCACCTGAAGAAGGGCGAAACTTTGTGAATATGGCAATGACGATGAGGATAACAGTCCGAATAATGTAAGTAATGCAAGTTAGCACCAGTAACACGAAAAGAAAAATAATCACATAATAAAAATGTTGACATTCCACACTACTTCAATAAAAAAAAAAGGTTAGGAAGGAAACCTCGATCTATAGTGGAAAGATCGATAACAGCTACTGGATTTGAGAAACCTGTTTTCATTTAAGAGAATGTTGTTAGATATTGCAACCAACAGCACTGGCAACTCGGTCAATGAATGCCAATGTTTCCTTATAAGGAAACGGTTAATATCACGATTGCCTTTACCATTAGTACGTCAGACCATCACAGCTAGTATACGCCATGCTATCTTTACAGGATCGACTCATCGTCATCAAGCAGAACTTGCTGTCGATATTTCAGTTGTAAAAACTTCCCCCAAAAAGGTTACTTATCCTCACTGTTCTATATTTTTGTAGATCTTATCAATTTTTGCCTTTTGACTATCCCTCCCATCCGCCGGTCTGCTAGCCATTTATACAGGCTCGTTATATAGGTTACTCGCTGCTTCTCACTGTCCCTTTTGGCTGTGACATATCTTTCCAAAGAGTATTTGCTCGTTCCTGAATGTAACAAACCTGAGTGTACATTTTAAGAAAACAGGTCGCTTTTTAAAACAGTAAATATTGCCGTGGAGTGAAGGACGTTAAAACAATAGCGGTGTCAAGGGAAAAAACGCCTTTTTCACACAATCGGATTTTTTTTTTTTTTTTTTGCTGTCGCGAAGGTAAAATAATTGAAATAACATCACTGTCTGGTAAGTGAACTTAACCCATTTTAAAGTAATTCAAAAAATACTAAGGCAGCTGAAGCTTTTAATAACTGAATAGGTTTGATAACATCTGCCAGGCAGTTAAATGACAACAACAATAACAACAAAAATGTGTATACTGTTAAAAATTGTTACAAGCTTCTCTTTCAGTTACTTAAAATCAAGGACGTACATATTTTATGTACTTATCAAGATAAAAAAAAATGCATATTTCCTATTCATTTTCTCCTTTAAATAAAATAGCTCACCAGCCGAAACCTTTCGTCTCAACGCGAATGTATGTCCCAGGAAATCGACCCACCTATTCTCAGTTGGCCAATTCGTTTTAATAATAAAGCCGATCTCTTCAAAGGGATGGGAAATTAACACCTGTGTGCTCACATGCAAATTCAAGCAGAACTTACCTTGCTGTCGACTAAGTGCAACTGATCTCTGCGATTTTAAAAACAAAACTTTATCTTTCCGCCTTTTCTACTATTATTATTATTATTATCGGACTGGAGGGGACGACCCCAGTCTGCGGCACCTTTAAATGGTGTCTCAAAACTAAACCTCGGGTTGACACAAGCCTTGTGAATGCAGTTGGGTAGACGGAGCACTTGCGTGTCGTCGATAGCTGTGCAAGCACGAAGTCACAAGTCATCGTGGCCGAGGACTTGAGCGTGCTGGTCTTGTTCAATTTGTTGATCACCTGAGTTAACGCGCTCTTTCCCAGAAATTCTAACTAAGGTCTGCTCAACATAGTTGCAGTATAAACCACAGGTGGTCACTGTGGGTGTTGAATAAACACAAATGCGCCTGAGCAAGCATCTGCAATAGGGATTTGCTAGCCGCCCTAGTAGACGAGAATACGAATAGGCACCTATACTACTCTTTGTTTTTTTTACGTCTCATAAACACTTTTCAGATTATTTAAACGCCAGAAAATAATTTTTAGATTGTAATTTTTTTTAAAATAATAATGATTTAGTGATACATGTCTTACTAATTAACCCATAGCTGGGGGAGATGTGAATTGATACCTTGCCCAAGAATATTTGTGCGTAAGTGAATATAACGAACCCAACTGGAATTGGAACTCGACTCTCTGATTAACAATTCTGAGTCATTATCCATTACACCACCCGCACATTCAAGTTACAGCACCTGGTATTCCCAAGCAGTCAAGCATCTAGATATTGACCAGACTCAACGTTGCTTAACTTCGATGATCGTACGGGAAGCGGTGTTTCAACGTGATATGACCGTAGCTTATGTTGTAAATAGACGCTAAATTTAAAAATACATAAAAATCATGGCAACAGGACTCTGCACCATGCCGTGCAAGCAGGAAAACCCAGGCATGGCTGAGAATTTGTGCGACCACATCACTCCTTACATCTTGCTACCTTACTTCCCAGACTGCAACTCTCTTGATTATTATGTGTGCGCTGTTGAGCGATAGACCAATAAAACTCCTTGTAACACCAAAGACGAACTGAAGACAAGAATTATGGTAGTATTCACTAACTTAAACAAGAAGACTGTCCAGATGAATTACAGGTGATTTCGAAGTCGTTTAGAGGTCGGGGTTGAATAAATTGAATAAATTTACTCTTTAATATTTCAAGAAGTTTTTGTGTAATTTTGGTAAATATATCTCTTAAAATGAGATTTCATGAATCATTTATACAAAAAACAAATATAGAGGTTAATGAATTAAATGGCGAGAATACATATCTATCTATCTATCTATCTATATATATATATATATTTGTTTTTTGTATGAATGATTCATGAATTTATAAATTATATTTACACCTTTTAATTGAAATTAAAACTTATCCAACATGCAACTCTCGGATAATAAGTGTGACATTACTGTAATTATTGAACAATATAGTTCATGCCATATTCACGGAAAATCTACCAGTAAAAAAGAATTCTCTTATTACTATATTTGTACAAAAACGCACAACCTTAAAATTTAAATTCAAACTCAGCGTTGCGACCGCACTTTCCAAAACAATAACACATTTCTCATAGCATTTTTTCGGATTACATCTCTATTTTCGTTGACCTCTTATTACCGAGAAATAAAAACAAGAACAAAATCTATTTTCATACCTGATGATGTCTGTAGGAACAGACGAAAGCTTGTAAAAAAATTAAAAAGACCTTATGCAACTGGAATTTATAAACGAGGATCATATCATTCATATACAGGTTCGGGGTTGATGTATCTTATTTATATTGTTTGCGACGATGTATTCTCGCCATTTAAATCATTAACCTCTATATTTGTTTTTTGTATGAATGATTCATGAATTTATAAATTATATTTGCACCTTTTAATTGAAATATATATATATATATACTGGGTTGGCTAGAAACAAAAAGAACATGTATATTTGGGAAGCAACATTTCTTTCAAACATCGTTGAAGATGACAGACAAGGAAAATCTGATAAATTTTTAAACTTTTTCTATTTGGCGAAAGTAAAGGGGTACAAAAATGCCGCGTATTGTCTATCGTCACAAGGGTTTTTCAAAGGGAGTCGGATTAATAAATGAAAATGTATTCCTAAAATATATATGTACATATAAATATGAATATATAATGTCGCACATTCAGTGACACACACACACACACACACACACACACACACACACACACATATATATATATATATATATATATATATATATATATATATATATATATATATATTTGAAGACATTTTTATGTTTATACATTCTTTTTATAGATACAAATATTTAAGTAAATGCTCTGTTTTATATTAAACAGTATTAATAACATTTACCGGACTGAATGTCCGAGAAATTATCATAGAAAATATTCGTCCTCCGACAGGAATCGAATCTGTATCCTAACGGAACCGTCATATAGCCTGACGTGCCTTAACCGATCGAGCGACGGAGGATCGTTCGATTAGCAAGGTCGATTTTACTGCTTTTAAACTTCAATCTTCCATGAAAAGCAATAAAATCGACCTTAGTTTCGTTAGTAATGCGTTTGATGTGTTGTTTAGTAACATGTTTCTCTTGTGTTCATATAACCTTTTATTTAAGCTTCTTTTCCACTTTGTCATACATCTCACCCCTTATATATATATGTGTGTGTGTTTATGTGTTATCAGACTGGAAGTGGTCGATCTCAGCGTGTGGCACGTTTGGAAAGTGCTTGAAAACCATACTACGGGTTGACTCAAGCCTTGTGAATGAAATTGGGTAGACGGAATCCTTGGGGGCCGTCGATAGCTCTGTTAGCAGAAAGTTACAAGTCATCGTGGCCGTTGTTTAAACTGTTAATAACGCTAGATAATGCGCTCTTTCCTAGAAACTGTAACTAAGGTCTGCTGATTATCGTTGCATTATAAACCTCAGGTGGGCTTTGTGGGTTTTGAATAAACACAAATGCGCCTGATCAAGTGGCTGCAATAGGAATTGGCTAGCTGCTCTAATAGACAGGTATCCACGAATATGTGCGTCCAGCTATCTATCTATCTATCTATATATATATATATATATATATATATATATATATATATATATATAGCCATCTTCTGTCTTTCTGGAACCTGTTCTTTTATTGTCCTTTCTCCTCACTAAAGTCTTTTCATTCTCTTCCACTCTAAGTAACCCTTTGCGTCTTAGTGGCATTATCACCATCTTCTGTCTTCCTGAAACCTGTTCTTTTATTGTCCTTTCTCCTCACTAAAGTCTTTTCATTCTCTTTCACTCTAAGTAACCCTTTGCGTCTTAGTGGCATTATAGCCATCTTCTGTCTTCATGAAACCTGTTCTTTTATTATCCTTTCTCCTTAATAAAGTCTTCTCGTTTTCTAACACTCCCAATAACACTTGCGTCTTAGTGACATTATCATCATCTTCTGTCTTCTTGAAACCTGTTCTTTTATTGTCCTTTCTCCTTAATAAAGTCTTCTCGTTTTCTTACACTCCCAATAACACCTTGCGTCTTAGTGGCATTATCACCATCTTATGTCTTCTTGAAACCTGTTATTTTATTGTGCTTTCTCCTCAATAAAGTCTACTTATTCTCTTTCACTCCCAGTAACCTCTTGCGTCTTAGAGGCATTATCGCCATCTTCTGTCTTCCTGAAACCTGTTATTTTATTGTCCTTTCTCCTCAATAAAGCCTAATTATTCTCTTTCACTCACAGTAATCCCTTGCGTGTTAGTGGAATTATCGCCATCTTCTGTTTTCCTGAAACCTGTTCTTTTATTGTCCTTTCTTCCTCATTAAAATCTTCCCATTCTCTTACGGCTTAAAGGTATTATCGCATTCCATGGGATGAAATGGTTAAAACGAAAAACTCATCCCAGAAATTCAAGCAGAAATTGATACAAATACACGGGTTTCAATTTACAACTCTCATTACGTATCTGAAGGAGTGTTGATAAAATTACCTGTGGTACTGTAAATATGGCGTTGCTAGGCAACCATTAAGATTGTCGTTGGGTTGGCTAATAACGGCTCTTTCGCTTAAGAGTCGGGGAGTGACTCATTCTTTGATTGCAACTTCAGCCAACGAACTCAATAGACCTAATTTCTTTCAAATTAAAACCGGATCGTTGCTTAAGGACTTTAATTTGTTTGTAAAACAGCTTCAGAGCGACAAAGATAAGGATTTCCTTGATAATTAAGAGAATGCTTCATCTTTAGATGAATGAATTTATTGCTTTTTTCAAGCCTACATGGGAATTTATTTAAAGCTTTTTAAGTTTGCTACAAGAGACCATTGAGGAAACATAAATATATTTAGACCCATGTACTTACAAATGAAGTCTTAACATATGGGACTATAAAACACACACTCGCGCGCGCACACTCACACATAGCGATTTTCCAAGCTATGCTTGGATGTGGCACAAGGACGAAAGTAAGGGGCACCCAGTGAATTTGAACTCACTACTCAGTCGTAATTGTTCTAGCGAGAGAAGCTTGTTAACCATTACACCACCTCGAGGTACCCAAAATAGAATTTTTGAGATTTACGCAAGCTATTATAGTAATTCATCGACTCTAGAAACATTCTCAACAGAATGCAAAAAGCACCGGGCGGTCATATCCTATTTTGGGGACTCATCAGCAGTGCACATTCACTACCGATATTCGAACCCGTACCGTTTTGACACAACGCAAGCGTCATACCAACTGTACCAACGGGTCTCGGTTTGTGATTTTCTAAGCGCAGCTTAGATATGGCACAAGGCCGAAAGTATGGGGCACCCAGTGAGAATTGAACTCACTACTCAGTTTTAATGGTTCTAGTGAGACATACTTGCTAACCATTACATCACTTCGAAGTGCCCAAAATTGGAAGTTTATCCCGGTAGTAGGGGTCTGCTTACAGTACCAGGTGCGGGCGCGCTCTATACACACACACACACACACATATATATATATATATAATGCGTGCGTATGTCTGTGTCTATAATATATATATATATATATATATATATATATATATAAAGAACGTATAAACAAAAATGACTTTATATATATATATATATATATATATATATATATATATAATAATAATGTATGTATGTTTGTGTCTATAATATATATATATATATAACGTCTGTGTCTATATATATATATATATATATATATATATGTAATGTGTGTGTGTATGTCTGTCTATAATATATATGTGTGTGTGCGCTTTTCATTGAATAATCAGTTATGTGTAATACGTGATACACGCTTAGGCGATTATGCATCTTTCGATACATGACTGACGAGGCAGATTTTTTCCCGCAGTAGTTTGCCATTTCTTTCTGCGGTAGACCAGTTGCCATCCAAGGCGAAAGAAACCGGTCTGTCCTGATATTTACCTGTAGCTGGAGGGAGAAGAATAGGATTCATACCTTTCCCAAGGTTATTTGCACGTAAGTGAATGTAATGGATTCGACTAGAATTCGAACTCGGCTCTCCGCCCGCTACTGTCGCATTGACTAGTAATATACTTTAATCAAATGCATTCTAACTATAAACAAGATGAAAAAATCCTTAAAAAATCTACTAAGTACTAATATATCCCCCACTGATCCCATCAAAAATCAAACTAATTATATACCATACTAAATTCAATACAACCAACTTAGACATCAGTAATAATAATAATAATATATTTACTACGTCACCATATAAAAAGGCATTTTCAACTATAAAAGTGAATGTCCTGACTATTACAAAACAGCGTTTTACTAAGCTCACCTT